CCCTTCAGATTGTTCCAGGAAGGTTGTGTGAGGTTGGGGGAGCTTGGATTTTGTGAAGTGAGAGTTTTCTGCATATTCAAGGCTTGGACTTACCTTTCCAGGGTTACTCTGACCTGATCAGAAACCCATATGTTTGTTGGCCACCATTTTATAAATACAAACCAGCACATAGCCCCACATACTGGAATTTTCTTCTCATTTATGTCTATTATTTGAAGCATGTAAAACACCAATAGCATTTTAAAGGCAGGTACAGGTCATAGGTAGTAAGTCAGTTGCCACAAGTGACCATTGCTTGACTTTAGAAAGTTTTCTGACCCTCTAAGGCCTGGCAGCCATGACCAGTTTCTTGCTGAGGGTATCCAGCAGCTGCTGTAGGCTGTCTGATGTTCCCAGTGAAAGAGCTGGAGTATGAAACAGGTAAAAGAAGCAGTCTAGGCTGAGATTCACTAGTACATGCCTGCAGAGACTAAAGATTTCAGGGCCAAGAAGTCTGCTGCCCTGAGTTGGAGACACAGACCCAGAAGAAGGTGGCCATTTCTAGACCTACAATGACAGGACAGGGATAAATTGTTGAATGTCATCATAGTCTTCATATGTGACATCTGTCCAGTAGTCCACAAAAGCAGCTACATGAATGGGTAGAAGAGAATGCCTGTTCTAAGGGGTGGCATTAACATCCTCATGGAACAGGAAGCCTCAGCAGAGCTTGTGTTCTCCGTGTCAGGTATTACAAGAGAGGAGCAGATCTACCTTTACACAGACTCAGTACGTCTCCAAAGAGAGCATCTTCTAACTTCATATTTCTTAGAGACTTAGTGAGTTTGTGTTCAGGTCAGTTTGTGTCCTATGTGTTCAGGTCAAGCACCATAAGTCAACTCTTTGAAGAAGAGATTAATTTTCTTACTTCTCTGTAAAGGCATTGTCTGTGAACAAGTAGTAAATAGTTCTTTGTGGCTTGTGTAGCGATGGCCTTAGAGCAGCCTGTTCTTACTGCGGGCCAGCGCAGTAGACTCCTAGGTGACTCAGGAGCTTGTTGTTCATTCTCATGAAAAAGAAAAAAAAATGTTAAAGGTGTGTCCTTGGTGACATTTTCTCTTGTTATTTTTAGATGAGACAGTGTTGATAATTGGTAACAAGCTGTGTGAGTTTCCAGATCTGGCTTGGGTTTTAACCCCAAATTCAACCCCTAACTTTGAATCTGAGAATTCCCGTAAACTCTTCATCTGTGAAACAGTGATAATGACAACTGATTTACTACACTGAGCCTGTGGGATGAGATGAACCAACAAATATGCTTCTTAGCTCAGTTCCTAGGACATTTTGAACACCCAAGGCCTGGTAGTCACAGTAGTAAGCTTGGTAATGATTTCTATTTATATGGGGGAACCAAATACTTAAAATTATAATATGAAAATTACATTTAAAATTTTAGAAAGTTTTGTATTTAAAAAGGAACCAAGAATATTTTGGAGGCAACTCTTAGTATGTTCTCAGGCATTAAAAGAAAAAGTCCTTTTAATTAAATTTACCACTCAAGAACCTAGCCAAATAAATTGGAATTGTGCCCTTATGCCTTCCTGTTCTTTCTCCTTAAGGAAATTGCCCTGCCAGTCCATGTTTGTCTGAAGTCCCTCTCTGTTCCAGCCCACTCTTCTAACCCACTTGGTACCAGTGGAGAGCTAGGGATTCCATTCTGACTCTCCTGAGCGTAGCCCCGGGTCCTGACAGTGGCCATGGCCACCGTGCCTGCAGTCTGGCTCTGAGCTGACGGCTCCCATTGCTCACGGGTCTTAGAGGCCCCCACACCTCAGTCGCCATGGCTGAAGCTGGAGGCTTTTTATGAACTTGTGTCCGATACAGAGCTGAAGAGGTAACGGAGAAGAGTTTTTGGCTAAAACAAAGCAAAAAAATTCAAATAGAACCTGCCATCAAACTTATGATTACAGAAACAGTGTTTATAGGTATAGCTAACTGACTCTTATTAAAGTGTTTGTATTAAAACCAAATAAAACATTTGTCAGTTCTCTCATGGTGGACATGGCTAATGACCCAGAGAGCAGGTGCTCAGTCACTTTATTGTTTGGTGCCGTGCAGCCCATCAAGTAATTTTAATTAAGGCTTTTTTCCCCATATCTAGATTACTTCATTTATTGACCAAATACTTTGTAAATGCCAAGTAGAACGCAGTACATATCATTCACTGGGATTCTAATCTTTATGAGGTCATAGGCAACAGCTCAAATTTAATTTTACACACATCATAAGTAATTAGAAATGGGGGCTGGAGAGGTGACTCAGTGATTAGGCGCACTTGCTGGTCTTTCCGAGGACCCAAGTTCAGTTCCCAGCACTTGCATCAGGAGGCTCACAACCAGCTGTAGCTCTCGCTTCAGAGACTCCAACACCCTGGCTTCCTCAGGTGCCTGCACTGTGCTCCTCCTCACACGCTGACACACACACACACACCCATCCCACCTGCACTCATGTGCCCCTCCTCACACGCAGACACACACACTCGTCCATAATTCAGAACAATAAAAGATGCATGAAACAGAAAGCCAACACTTGTGTGATACTCCCGTTTACAGGGCGTCTTTGCATATATTAATACAGGTTAATATCACTGTAGGGTGAAAAGGACAAGCATTTTCTTCCTTTTATAGGATAAAAGACCTGAAGAGACTAAGAAATGTTTAAAGTTGACAGTTCCACCATTTATGACCTTAAACCAGCCACTTAATAACACCATGTAATTCCCTGAACAGGGAAACAGAATTGAAAACAGTCCCTCCTTCATAGGCCAGGAAGATGCACCGATGCATGAGCACAAAGCCGTTATCAGTACATGGTGTGCCGTAAATGGGCGTGGTTTACCGTCAGCAGTCACGGCATACAGCTAGTGAGTGTTAGGACCTACCCCCAGATCCAGGTCTCCTGACTCCTGACCCAGGCTGTTCACCTTCCCAGTGACCAATAGACAGGATGGTCATAAAGGGAGTTGTCCTTTAATAAGAAAAAGATGGTGGACGAGAAGTGTTTAGACTTCCCAGCATAGTGAAATAAATGTCTGAGGCACTAATTTTCAGGATTGGGCCACCATGCATTATGTTCATGTATCAAATTATCATCATGTGGAGCCACACATTTGTATAGTTATTGCATGTCAATTTAAAATTACATTGCAAGCAAGATGTAAAGGCCCACGCTTGTCTTCCCAACTCTCCAGAAACTGAAATAGGAAGACGTTGAGTTTGAAGCTAACCAGAGTTACACAACCAGTTCTTGGCCAGCCTGGACTAGTCAGACCCTGTCACAACAGGGAAACCACACATATTATTAAAAAAAAATAAAATAAAACAACCCCACCCCCAGCTATGTCCATGGAAATCCCTTCCATTAATATTGATGTTTGTGGTCAAAGTGAAGATAGTAAGTGACCACTGTAGGTGGGACCTCTATATCCAAATCCTCTCCCACCCAGGGCTCAGAGAGCATCTCTCCAGGAAGACAAGGCTGTAAGGATGTAAAAGCAGGAAGGCAGAGAGGAGTGCTGTGAACTGCTGCCTTGGGGATGTGATGTGGCCATGGCACTTCTGAACTTACCACAGCGTTGGGTACCGGCACATCCTGAGCCAGCCACAATTTCAACACAGGCTGGGGAGGGCCTCACAGATCCCATCCCTAGCTGAGGAGCTGTTAGCAGTTGATAGCTCTTTAGAAGTGTAGCCACTGGTAGTTTATGTTTAGTGGATGACCTCAGACCTGTACACATATGGGCAGGCCTAACTGGATTCCATGGGGGAGGAGGGAGCAAAGAGAGGAAGGTGAATACAATTAAAACACATTGTATACAAGTATACAAAGAATAAACTTAAAAATCTTTAAAAGCTTTAAGAGAAAAAAACATTGACATCTGGAGATTGTAATTCTGCCAGGAGAATATTCCTTGGGGAAACAGCAGCAACAGCATATAAATACACATCAGCCTGTTGGGCTGTTTACAAAGCAGCTTTGGGGAGCTCTAATTCACATGCATATGTATTTCATCGATTTAATGTGTGTTATTCAATAGCTTTCTATATATTTGTAGACTTGTATAACCATCAGTCACTAGGATCAATCTTAGAAAAATCTTTATCTCAAAAAGAACTGTATTCCCCTGTCCTCTAGTTAAAGGTAGCCATTATCTGTTTTTTGCATTTTTGTTTGTTTGTTGTTGTCTTGATTTGCCTCTTCTGGCTCCTTTCACTTAGCACAGTATTTCAGGACCCATCCCTGCTGCACATGAGTCAAGGCTCTTGCTTGATGGATGGAAATGATGCTTATTTCCTGGCTGCTATTTGTAGTTTGCATCATGTGGAGTCTACGTGTCTTCATTAGTGAGGGTGAAACCTATTTTGTGGAAATTCCACAGAAGAATTGCTTCCTTGAGTAGCTATGACAATTAAACAGTGATATCAGAGCAACCAGTTATCACAGCAACATGTGATTCAATTAAGCAAGATAATTGTCTGTGTGTACCAAACTTAGTGCCTAGCACAGGGGTTCTCAAGGCACAGGGGTTCTCAAGTCCATTTGCCCCATTTGAATATCCAGGGTTTATTAAGAATTTATTAACAGTGAAGCAGTAGATTTCTTTTTTTTTTTTTTTTGGTTTTTTGAGACAGGGTTTCTCTGTGGTTTTGGAGCCTGTCCTGGAACTAGCTCTGTAGACCAGGCTGGTCTCAACTCACAGAGATCCGCCTGCCTCTGCCTCCCGAGTGCTGGGATTAAAGGCATGCGCCACCACAGCCTGGCTAGATTTCTTAATCTGTAGCCCAGACTAGTCTGTAACTCCTGTGTAACTCCAGTTAGCACTACATGGCAAGCCTCCTGCCTCAGCCTCCTGAACACTAGAATTACAGGAGTGAGCCCCCACACCTGCCACAGATATTTTCACTACTGCTTCGAGGTTGAAGTACTGATCTCTTCCATCCTTTTGTTTTGTTCTCCCCAAGGCTATGCCTTCCTGCTGTTCCAGGAAGAAAGCTCAGTGCAAGCTTTGATAGATGCCTGCCTAGAAGAGGATGGGAAACTGTACCTGTGTGTGTCCAGCCCCACCATCAAGGATAAGCCGGTAAGTGGTGTGTAGCCAGCTGCTGCTTTCCCAGAGCACATATGCAGATGACTAGCTGTTCCTCCTCCTTGTCGTGGAAATGCTGCGATTAGGAGCTCTTACCTGAGCTAACCTTGCTGTGTAGAGCTAGGACGGTTGCTAGTGATGAGAAGTCAATTAAAAAGTACTCAAATTTCATCTTACACTTTTGGGACCACAGGTAAACAAATGTGTCCTTGACACCCACCTACAGCTTGGTAAGCTGACTCCTAGTTGGAAAACCTGAGTTGAGATGAGCAAGGCTCTTAGAGGTTCTGGCAGCTTTTTCTGTTATTCTGATTATTTCAGATCAAGGACAGGAGGAATTTCTTTTTTGAAGTGTCATAATTGGTCATGTGTATATGTCCTTGAATGTAAGTCTTTATGCTGGGTTGTATCTACAGACACCCGGTGGGTAGGCCAGCAGGTCACACTCTAAATGGACAGTTTCAGCAGGACAGGAGAAGGGCTGGACAGAGAGCATGGCACTGAAATTGTAAACAAATGGGTGGGATAAGTTTGTATGTAAAGGCTTGGTCCTTGGAGTGGGAAGTAGTTAAAAATGGTGATGTGGAATGGAGAAGGGACTGAAACTGTATCTAGATACGAGATACTGGGGCTCACTTGGTTGGCTAAGTATATATAGTTTTTGTTGTTGTTGTTGGTTTTTTTTGGTTTTTCAAGACAGGGTTTCTCTATAACTTTGGAACCTGTCCTGGAACTAGGTCTTGTAGACCAGGTTGGCCTCAAACTCACAGAGATCCACCTGCCTCTGCCTCCCCCCGAGTGCTGGGATTAAAAGTGTGTGTGCCACCACTGCCCGGCCACTAAGTATATTCTTAGAATGTGTCTGCGAAGAGTTTGGGTTAGCTATAGAAATTCCGAGCTTGAGTCTTAACTTTAATATTTAAATATCTATCTGCTTGAGTCCCATTAAGCCATGCTGTCTTGGTAAATAATGGTTTTCCCAACTATAAAATGGGACAAACAGTCATTCTTCCCTGGGTTGCTGAAAAAATAAAAATGAATGTAGAGTCACTCAATGGAGAGTGAGTACTTGTGCAGATATAACTCTCTGCTGCTATCTGTCCTGCATGGTGCCGTAGTTCAGGACAGAGAGCTCAGCTATGCAGCCACACCTGCTGGCAAGAACAGGGTTCCCAACTTGCAGAAGAATGCCTCTGGGACTTGGTAACCTATAAGGAGGGGAATTAGTATGTAAGAAGAGGAAATTACTACGAATGGGGTTATTGAGTCATGGCAGAAAGGTCAATACAGAAAAAGAAATAAGGATTTTAGCCATTATGAAAGTATCACTGTAAGTTCTGAGACTGTTGCCAAATTTTGGTAACAATAATGACAATGGTAAATACTATGGCTGTATAGGTTGGGAAATAAGTGCTAACTTTGCTAACTTTGAGCTTTATTTAAAAAGTGTGTGCATGGTGAGGGAGACATGGGGACTTACTGATAGGAAGAGCATGTAATACATCACCTGAATAATAAGCCTAAAATTACTGAAGTCCTTTGGAGTTCTCTCAGATTCAGAAGTCTCTACCAAATTTGGCAATTTGTCTTAATAATCTATCTGCAGAGATGTCCTGCCCCTGACAGTCAGTGAAAAGTCAGTGAGCGTGAACTAGGAAAGGTTATGGTTGAACTGGCCATGCACTGTAGGAGAGGATTAGAAGACATTTTATACGTAAAAAGGCAAATGGATAGAGAGGCACATGACGACATAATCATGTCCACAATAGAGAACTAACGGTAGAATTGAGATGAGGAGATGAGACAGGTCCAGAAGTTCCACATGACTGGCTCTGTATGGAAAGGAGGAGATGGCGTCTGGTAGGAGGGCCCTCACCTGGACAGGGTGTCTCTTGAGAGGGGAGCAAACTGACGGTTGCAAGCATAGGTGGGTGGAGATAGCACCACTGCTCTTGAGTGTTTGCACGCTAAGCACAAGCATTGCTCTGGACTTTAGGGACTTCGAACATATTAGTGTAACTTTCTCTGCTGGAAGCTAGCTTCCCTTCACCTACCTGATCGCAGTCTGCCTTTTCTGAGCTGGAGGGGTTGTTTTTACTGCAGACTGATAAATTCTGATGGTAACTATCAAATACATGTTTCTTTGGCCCAGACATACTCAGGGTTTCTAGCATTAATAGTTTGGTTAAAACGTCAAGAGAAAACCCCTCCCTGATGATATGTCCAATTCGAAGGAAGGACATTTCATGTTGGGTTCCAGTCTTTTGTCTCCAGGTTCGCAGCCTCTCTTCTCGGCATTAGCTTTCCCTCCACCGTTCCCAGCTTCATTTAGCCGTGCCTCTCCACTGGCTCGTGCACATCCCAGCTCATGCAGATGCCCCCACAGAAAGTGACCGCTAGAGTCAACCTTCCAGTCGATGAGGACCCAGGAAACAGAAGCTTGGTCTCCGGAGCTCATTCACCAGGCTTTCTCAAGCGTGGTTCCTCTTTGTTCCATGTCTTAGGCTGGCTAGCATTCATGCTCCACCCTTCAGGATCCCAGTACCCTAGCAGTTGAGTTTAGTTCTTTCTGACTCCTTGTAGTTCCCTTGGAAATATATCGGGTTCCAAAAGTTACCTTGTAGATTTTTCTACCCTTTGTCCTTATTTATTCCTTTTCCTCAGATCGAACCCCTCTTCCGGTTAAGTGGATCCAGTTATTCAGATTTTTTTCCCCAGTGCAGGGCCCAAAGTGAAGTCTACTCTAAGCTATCGTGTCCAGGATCATGCTTCTCTCTAAGTCAAGAGGATCCCAAACTAATGGGGTTTAGGATATTAGATAGGTGGGGGGTTTTTTGGTCTTTTTCTTCAGTTAAGTGATTCATATGGATTGTTCTGTATATAACTTTTGTTGCCTGATTATTCTGACTCTTTAGTCCCGAAGGAAGGAAGGAAGGAAGGAAGGAAGGAAGGAAGGAAGGAAGGAAGGAAGGAAGGAAGGAAGGAAGGAAGGAAGGAAGGGAAGGAAGGAAGGGAAGGAAGGAAGAAAGGAAGGAAGGAAGGAAGGAAGGAAGGAAGGAAATGTTGTAGCTCAAGATCTGTGACTCCCTTTCTTCCTGCAGAGAGAGGAGCTCCACCATTCATCAGTCCCAGACACCCCAGCAGATGACAGTTGTTGCAGAATATTTGTTTAGGCATAAGGCACCTTCTGATTGGTTTTAATAAAGAGCTGAATGGCCAGTAGCTAGGCAGGAGAGAATAGGTGGAGCTTCCGGACACAGAGAGAAATTGGAAGGAGGAATCTAGGTGCATGGATTCGCCAGCCAGACACGGAGAAGAAACAGGAAGTGAGAGATGGAGGAGAGGTAGCTCCACATGGCAGAACCTAGTTTAGGTTATAAGAGCTGGTTGAAAACAAGCATAGGCTAAGGCGGAGCTTTCGTAATTAACGTGTTGTGCTGTCAGCCCAAAGGCTGCCTACAGTGATGTCTGCGCTTCTAGTGAAGTAGGTAGATGTTATGAACAGTGGCCCCTTCCGGGTAGGCAATAAATAAACACAATCTGAAGGTTTAAACAACAAACTATAGAGCAGGAGACCTGCCTGAACCCGCAGAGCTAGATGGTGATTGGAGAGAAGGAAGGAGGCGTTAAATGAGCATCGACTTGTCTTGTCTGGGCAACTCCGGCATGACCTAGAATAGATTTGTAGACCAGCCTGAGCCCAAATTCAGAAATGTGCCTGCCTCTGCCTCCCAAGTACTGGGACCAAAGTCATGCGTCACCATGTCGAACAATGATCCTTGCTTCTGGAAGACTGGCCAGAGTTAATGGAATGGAAAACACCTTGAAAGGAATTTAAACTGTATTACCAAGCTGGCGTGTGTTTATGTAGGTTAGGTTTTTGGACTGTTGCTCAGGTAATGACCATCCACTTAAAAATTGAAAAACAAAAATCAGTGAAAAAAAAATGATGGAGGCAGGAAGCTGGAATTAGATGCTGCTTACTGTTTCAGTTTTTTTAATTAATTATTTATTTATTTATTATGTATACAATATTCTGTCTGTGTATATGCCAAAAGAGGGCGCCAGACCTTTTTACAGATGGTTGTGAGCCACCATGTGGTTGCTGGGAATTGAACTCAGGACCTTTGGAAGAGCAGGCAGTGCTCTTAACCACTGAGCCATCTCTCCAGCCCAGTTTCAGTTGTTTTTAAAATTGCTTTATAATTGGTTTCTATGTACATGTGTATGTGTGTGGGGCACATGTAGAGGCCAGAGGACAACTTTGTTTGCCCTTCCTTCTCATGCCGGTCCTTCCGTGGGACTTAGGTCATCTGGGTGGTGTTCAGTGTCTTCGCCAGCTAAGCTGTCTCACTGGCCCATGTTTCAGTTCTTAATTCTGTCCAGTCTGTCACTCCAGTCTCTCTTGACCTACTTTATGTGCCTATCATGGGATTTCTAGCGTGTTTAGTCACTCTTCCTTAGTTACAGAGGCAGCTTCCCAGTCAAGCTTCAGTTTTCCCCCAACCTTACCTTTTTTGCTTTTTTTTTTCTGACCTTCATATTTATTCATTTACTTTCCCTTTTTGCATGTGTATCTGTGGAGTGCATACATGTATGTAGTATGTTTTGATATGTGTGTTTGCATACATGAAGAGGTGTGAGATCAATATTGAAAATCTTTCTTCATTGCTTTGCTACCCTCTTTTTTTTGTTTGTTTGTTTTTTTGTTTTTTTGATACAGGGTCTCTCTGTGTAACAGCTCTGGCTGTCCTAGAACTCACTGTTAGACCAGGCTGGCCTTAACCTCACAGAGATCCTCCTCCTTCTGCCTCCTTCTGCCTCCATCTGCCTCCCGAGTGCTGGGACTAAAGGAGTGCGTCACCACTGCCTGGCTTTTTCCTACTTGTTCTTTGAATCAGGATATCTCAGTCAAATCCGGTGCTCGGTAGCAAGGCTAGTTTTTTTTTTTTTTAATATTTTATTTATTTATTATGTATACAGTGTTCTGTCTG